ACCCGAAACTTAGCTCTATAGTTATGGAACCAGGAGACAAATGTTATACCGTCATCAGCATTTAAACGGAATTAACTGAGTTGTTGTCCCAAGGTTTCCGCAAAAAGGGACACTCACTTCCCCTATCCCTAAGCCTGACTGCATTGACAGCTACTGCGTCAGCGTCTGAATCAACCTGGCCTGTGATTTTTCAAACTGGACCTGCTGCTGCTGCAAGAGTGTCTGCAATTGTTCAAAGCTGGTTGACACTGGTTCCGTTGTAAATTTCCGCCACCACTGTGGTAACGCTGCCCTACAGCTGCTCTCTGTCTTGTGCACCGACCAACCGAGCCGAAGAAAACAAAAGAAAAGATTTGCTAGACTAAAGTATCAAGGACAGAGAACGGTTAATTTTATGGGTCACATGTACTCACCTCCGACTATACGTTGCCGGGCCGACCGACATCATCTGTCTCCTTGCGTTCAAACGTGCTCGCGGTCTCCAGTATTTGGCTGCAGTTTTGCTCAAGTACGCGCCATGTCAACCCGTGGCAAGATGAAGTACTGACCACCTCAGTAGCCTAGATGTACGTAGCAAGCTGCGTCGTGAATAGAAAAGCAAGTTCATCAGCTTTCTGCGTGGCCCGCCGCAGACCCACCACGTGTCTCAAAACCTTGTCATAGCGTTCGTCAGTCGCGGCCGTCTAACAGGATTCACACTACGTGTGAAAGGCAACGGTCTAACACACGCAAGAACTAACCCGACACTCGAGGCAATTTGATAGCTGGCGTCTTTCATCAACGCAGGTTTCGGCACAAAGAGACCACATAGTAATCAGTCTCAGGTGGCGAGTAGCATGCAAAACATATATTTGTCTCGATCCAGATCAAGTAGTGGTTTGTGCAAACATTCGCATGTGATCGGGAGGCCAAGGAAAAGAAAGCATTGCAAGCTCAGAACGAACAGGCTAGTCGATCGGTCGAATTAGCTGAACTAGCAATTGTCATAGGCAAGCGCATCTGTCCGTGTTTTGCTCAATGATTCTGACCACGAGATCTGACTGAAGAACGCATTGATAACTTCCACGCAATCACTACGTCGGTTAATTTAGCTCCACTTGAAGGGCTAAATCTTCGCGCACTCCCTCATACTGTTCAATAGCTGTCGAGCTCTCCCAGTAAAAGTCGATCAGAAAGAAGCTTGTCACACTGTCAGCCGGCAATTAAAAAGAGGCCTTGGTGGTCCCAGTGTGCACTAGGAATGGAGGCCGCAGTCCTCACAGGAAACACTCGCAGCCGGTTCTTGCTCATTTGGACCGTTAAACATAGGATATCTGGTGTCAGTGAGCATAGCTGCGAGGCAGAGAAGTCACAAATCGGCAACTTGCAGAGACGCATAGACAGATAAACTGAAGATTTTCAGTGGCAATCCAGTTACTTCTCACCGGTCACTTTTACACCCAGCACACTCAATCGCATTCCATGAAAGAAGGAAAGATGTCAGCAATGCATCAGCAGGCCGCGCCGACGCTCTGTTGCCACGTGATGACCTGCAGTCACGTGCGGGCTGCGGGTATTGTGATGTCACCCACACCAAGGCAGATCCGAACCGGTGACCTTTGGGTAACAACACAGATATCTTACCGCTTCAGCCATGCGCCGTGCCACTGGAACCAACGACCCAAGCGGAGGTTTGTTTTGAGATTCAACATTTGAAGTGCTTTAGGGCCGCTGATTAGAATGAATTTCCCTCAGAACTATTCAAACATATTGGTAAAAAGGTTTCCAATCAGCTATCATCCGCGTTTCTGAAGACCTGGCAGAAGGAAAGCTTCCCCTCTTCATAGGGAAAATCAGCTATTCTCCTAGTCTTTAAAGGATACTCGTGCAACTCACTCACCAACTACAGAGAGATCAGTCTGACAGCGCTAACTTCCAAGCCATTAGCTTTCACAATGTTTTACAGAACATCACCAATTTGTGAAGCGCACCATCGAGATGAGTAGACCGGCTTTTAAATACGCAAGCTTTGTCAGCTCTTCGAAATACGCTACCTCAACCGCAGACCGATCATCATCGCATTCCTAGACACTCGCACAGCATTCGACTGAGTAAACTAGTTTTAATTTATTGCCTGCTAACAAAGGAGTTCAGTAATGATATGCTGCTGTCCTTCAGGTGCTGTGTCTTCGTAGTACATATAGCCTATCCTAAAATATAGTTGTTGTACTCCTCCCAATAACCAGTGGTGCGCAATAATGAGGGCAGTACTGGAAGAGGTCGTCTGGGAGGCTAGTAGACCACCTAACGAAAAAGCATGAAATTGTGGACATCTTGCTTAGCTATCGCTGGCTCCATACGCCTTTCCGGAATGGGGACCAAGAGTAGAGGTCAGTAGCTTGAAACATCAAGAACAATTATGCAAAAGGAAGGCAGCAGAAGTACTACGGTACGCTGTACCGGTGCCGCGCTGTCACGCACCACCAGCAACGCGTGGGTTTAGAATACTGCGAGGATCAGTCGGTCCACTACGCAGGTTCAAACCCGCGACCTCCGGGTTGCAAGGCAGACGCCTTGTCTTTTCGGCCATAGATAAGCGATTTAGTGCAGTCTCATAAAAGTGCTGAGCACACTGGTATTCCTGATTCACATTACCATGATTTTGAATGGATTGATACATATCCCCCTCTACTCTGTACATGAAAAGATAGGCTCTATGGAAAGAACATCGACTGAGCTAGACCGAAGTCTTTGGAAAGAGTCTCTGGTGCAAAACCGGAGTGTCAGCTGAACAGGCTAATTCATTCCTATGTCTGCTGACCAGTTGCCAAAGCGCACACTGCATACCATGGTTGCAAACTGAACGGAGCCGGGTCCTGTCTAAGATAACAGGGTGCAACCGAGTAGACCTACATGCGCACCAACCAAGTATTCAGTATAATTCTTGTGTCAATCATTTTATTTAAAGAATGTACTATTGTATCACCATTCTGTTTTCCTCCAAACATTCAGTGTATTTGCATCGGAATAAACGGGTTTAAAGAATAAGCCATGACGTTAAACGACTAAGACAACCAGACGAACAATATGGAATTTATGGCATAATGGAAAAAATTGTTAGCGGCTGCATTTATCTTTCTTGTACATAGACTTCCTCTGTTCTCCAGTAGTTCGAGGATACTTAAAACATGCCGTTCACCTTACTCGTGTATAAACCCGCTCAGCGTCATTAGCCGATTGGTGTACGCGGGTTAAGGAGTACCTTGAATGGCAGACTTGTGCGCACCTAGTCGTACCAGTGGAACACATCTGGGTCACATAACGGTCACATGAAAAAGCTAAGGCGTGACCTTAACACATGCTATGGTTATACTTTTCTGACCACAAATACCGTCAGCGCTCAACGAAAATAAACACAAATTGGCGTAACGCAGTGAAGGGTACGCTAGACTACACGCAACATATTTGCATGACCAACCCTGATATCACCATCGGACGGTTAACTGCCTGATTTCCATCCAAGTTCGGAAAGAAATCGGTGTGTGGAAAATAAAAGCATTAGAAGCAAGTAAAAGTCATACTGAATGTCGCTTGAATGATCAGAATTACGCAACAACGTATAACAAAAGGGTTTGCTAATGGGTGGAAAAAAAGTATGGGTAAGTACTGCGAAATTTTCTGTGTTTGATTTCCGTCCGATGTTCCAGTAAATTGGGTGTGTGCCTAGAATTGTTTAGCACATTGCTTCACTATTAGCCCGTTCAAGTAGCTCCTGCGGATCGTATGCCTAATATTACAAAAATGATGTTTTGGGGCATTGTGAAGGGTTTCTGTGAGTTGCTGCAGTAACACATGTTGCCCGAACAATTTCTAGGCGGCAATCAATAGGAATGAGGGTAGGGAAACGATGGGAAACAGCAGAGGTAGGAGCTGCGAAAATTTCGACTGTCCGACTCGTTCGAAATTCGTTCCGTCGAAGTATTTTTCAAGCGGAAATTGGTCGCTCGGCAGGCACTTGTACTGTCAGGGAACATGCGGCCGAACTGTTTCAACGGGACGGTCGGGAAACACCTGCCAAGCTGCATAGTTACCCATGTTGACCGGAAGCAATTATTTGGTGAAAAGTACCGACTTACAGGCTAGGCTGGTGACAGTTACGAAGCATTGTGAGATTCGTTGCTACGTTTATACAACGCACGCCCTTTCCTGCTTATATACTTATGTGAACAGCCGTAAAAATTAACTGGGATGGCGGGTCGTCTAACTTTGTAGTCGGGCATGCATATTGCTGGCGGCATCCGGTTCCAGATTCGCTAGTCACTGCGGCCTCCATAGGACGCCTGCGCTTACAGAGGGACCATGGGAGGCTTAGGCAGCACCACCTACAGCTCCATCCACGAACCCCATAGCCAACGTAAACCCGAAAGAATAAGATCGCGAGACATGTAAGTAGGAGTCAAATTACATCAACAGAGCCTGGACACATACCTTCAGCTTGCACAGCAGCATCATTCCCATCAGTCTAATTGGGGAATCATGCGTACCAGACGTACACAAGGTAGTTAGGCCATAACCCAGCTCTACACTGAATGGAATCACTCTTGGAGGGTAGCACAGTCACGAGGACCACGCATCCCGTTTACCAAAGCAACGGCCAACTATCTCCTGGAGCCATAATAATCGATGTTGCGGTTTTTCGACGGGTAGGCATCTTGTCAATATTCGTGTCAAGCGCAGTCACAACGCGGATATGAAACAAAAGACAGGGAATTTGAAGGAAAACAAACAAGCAAAATTGGCACGGAATATGCAGCAGAATATCAGAACCGAGTAAACCAAATAAAGTGAAATACTTGTCATCCAGGTCAAGATCTAGTTTAAGTCAGTACAGCCTAATTGCGGTGAAGAAGCATGATGTGTGCGGCATGAGGCAAATATTTTTACATACATGCATAAGTATACATAAGTATACACATATAAAGTGCGGTGTGATATAGGATAAAGCAAAAGCAGCCACTCACCTTTCCATTGGGAATAAGAGTTGTCATATCTGGATTTACCTTCGGGAAGTGGATGCCCCTCCGGAGAAGAGTAGTGTACACCTTCTCAAGATCTCTTCTGCCAGGAACTTCCCAATTGCACTCCACCCACGACTTATTATAATGTAAAGCTGAGACATAATTACCTTCAGCATGAACAAAACCTTATTTTGTAATTCTTGGGAAGGTTCATTTTTGGGGGAAAGAATCTTGAGGAAGTCATGCAGGAACTCTTTGTTCGCAACCTGACTATGAAATCGCCGACCACAGTTCTTGACGCATGCTTCGAGGAGCAGTAATGTATACCAAACGCAAATATGGTCCTTCCCAACGGATGAAGTAAATCGCTTCCTAATGGCCCGAGCAGCATCCTTTGGGCTAAAGGACATCAGTGAATCAGACGGACATACCCTTCATCACTTTCATTAATGGTGTCGCAAACTTCTAATATTAACGACCAATCTTCTGATGTTTGTCCACTATCAGTGGCACGTTCTGTATCGGTCAAATAACTATAAATGAGCAACACCACCTGTCAACAGTCCAACGGTAGTGGAATAGGGGTGAGGATGGAAGATTCCCTGCATTGCATAATAGAGGGAACTGTAGCATGCGTCCAGTCAAGGGTTCTGAAGGCCTCCGTATTCGTGGGTCGTAAATGATTGAAGGGCTGAAGGACAAAACATACGCTTCGTATGCGGATGGATAGTTTCGTCACGACTTTCGTCACGACGGTGGGTGCGTTTGACTTACACCTAGTGGCGAGCTGAATACCGTTATTACAGCTGGTATTGGAGGACCGAGTGTGAGGTTAATAGATGGATAGCGTGAAAAGGAACTGCAGATGGTCGCTCAAACAACACCGAAAGCGAAATGGGAAAGCAAAGAAAAGAGGAAACGGCAATGGTCTTCAAGCTGGACTCGACATCTTACGTGTTAGCTTGCTACAAAGTCATTTTCCGACGTGTCACTTCAGTAACAAGAAAAGGTGGGAGCGCCCACAACCACCCGGAAAAAAGTGACATCGGAGAATAGATACAATTTAGATTAACGTAAAAACGAACATCCAGTAGTCCACATTTAATCTCAGGTAGCAGTAAAACAAAAGGTGGATCCCCTGGATGTTCCTTCTTGTGTAGGACAGGAGGGGATCCAGAGACGAAAACGTTTTCGCTTAGAAAGCGTCCCGTTTCGCATTGTAGTAAGCGAACAGAACTCCCAGTACTTCAACTTGATAATAGATCATTGCGCTTATAATGGAGAAAGAGAGGAGTAAGAGAAAAACAGCGCAACATTTTCGCGAAGTTGTACAAGCTAACTGGACATGGTTAGGGGCTGGCATGAGATCCCACAAAAAATTCAAGGAAACAAAGCCGACCGGTTTTTGTCTAGGCATTGCTTGGACTGCTACCCTTTTACAGACCAATAATGTAGAGGAAAGCTTTTCCCAGTCAAGCACTACCAGATTTAAGAACTTAGCTATATATCGAGCATAGATCTTTGTTGTTTCAACGTTACACAATGGCACAGCAAATAGTCCGGCGTAGTTGGTTCAAAGAAATAAGTGAGATTGAGACCACTAAGATACTTTATGATTTTGAATGTCTATTAAGTCCCCTTTCAATCTGCGTCTCCACGTTCAGAACAATGCTAAGTTAGCTAACCGATCTACATAGGTCAACTCCCGCTGGCCTTCTACCATTCGAGTGGCCTCTGCGCATTCGCAATACACTTGATCTCCTTCTGCAGGTAGGGTGCGCAGGCCAGAACACATTACAAAGGGAGAAAGACCACAAAATTGGTGCAACTCAGAGCGCTCATGAATCGAAATAACTACTGTTGTGAATTGGCTATAGAATTGAAGACTGATAGCTCAGATTGTTCAGATGGCGCTTGAAGTGTTCGCTGAGCTTGGCAATTTTGTTGCAAACGTTTCGTTACCAATCGAGATGATATCATCAATGTGTATTTGAGTCGCGTGCAGTAGCGTAAAGGAGCCTCGGTGAGTGCACTCTCAGCCGGAAGCTATTCTTAAAGATGATGATAAGATCGTTTGCTTCGGTAGCACGTTGTAGTGTCAGTCACCCAACAGGTTAATGCAATACATCACCACTCGCAGACAAGATTTGGCATTTGCTAAGGTTCAAGGGCAAATCCCATGTGTGGCCACTTACCAACAGCAACAAACCTTAGATAGTGTAGCCCCATCGCCCTTGCCAACAAGCTTGAAATCGGCAGCAAAAATTTAGGAAAGGTCCTAGAATAAAGGGACCGAATTATGTATAAACGGACAGAGTACTGGGGGATCCACTAAGGCAGTATCTTTGCTCGAAATAGCATAAATGACTAACACGAAATGCCCTGCCGTAGAGGAACGCGGACAGCCAAGAAAATAGCTGAGGGTGGAGTCCAAGCCAGGTCATCTATCCTAGCAGAAAGTGATGATTCACTGAATCAAAAGCTTCACTGAAAATAAACTTACACCGGAAACCCTTCATCGAGACACCGAGCTATTTCATCAAGGAAATACAGCAGGTTTGTGAGGCGCGACATTTTCCTACCAAACCCATGCTGTTTCGCTCCGATCTAGTTTTGAGCAGTTAGACACATAGATTTGATCACTAATAAGCTTTTCCAAACACTTCAAACGTAAGCTAGTAAGACTAACAGATCTGCAAGTATTGGACTTAGAACATCATGTGTAAATGGCCACCACAACTGCCTCCTTCCAATCCTGCGTAATCCATCCCTCACGAAGAGACAGGTACAGTACAAGAACTGGAAGCTGGAGAATATCGGCAAATGGCACATTAACAGTGCCGGATTTCGGTGGATCAGAAACAAAGCGCCCGAAACACACCCTGACCAAAAAGTAAGTGCCTACGTTTCCTACACTTGCAGCACATTCAGTGCCGTTCACGTGAAGGACTTGGTCGGAACTCGACAGACGTAAAGTGCAAGCTCAAGTACAAGTATAACCGGAAAGATAGGATTACTTTGTGTGTTCCTTCTACAGCAGGTCATTGAACCAGTTGACCTAGGGCTCTGAAATTTCAAATTCAGTTGAAACCGGAATAGTGGGATAATCCCGTGAGTTTTCCTTCTTTTGCGCATCGAGGAACCAGAATAGGTGGGTGTGAGATTTTGATAAGCCTAAAGCAAAACTGCATTACACCCTGGCCAACTAGTTACTGTCCGCATATCCGGTAACGTGAAATAAGAAAGAGTGGTAAGCCAAGAAAGCAAGAGGAAGAACGTCAACTAAATAATGATAATGCCAAGGCGAGAGATGAACTGGGGGGAAAATAGGAGAAAGCTGAAGACGCAAGTCGGTTAGGATGACTTTGTATTACACCCAAGAGCATTTAAATGACGCTCGAAATCACAACCATAGATTTCCTAACGACGAAAATCGGAAACGAGTTATAACACTGAATAACGGAGAGACAAACGCGTTTCACTCTTGACGCGCTCAGGACGCTGCTTGTGTGGACTCAATGGGATGACCGCGAAGACTAGGCAATTTAGCAGTACTAACAAGCCATGACGTGACCGGACCGATCGTACCAGTAAGAATACAGTGAGTATCAAGTCCCCTCTAATTCTCCGGTAGTGTATTGGGTACAATTCTAAGGTAAGCAAACGTTCGTGATAGGTTCGTCCCCAAAAACGCTGCACTAACGTCGCACCAGCTCGTAAAACATTCCCCAAATCAATGTTATTTGGTACAAGACATGGTGGACAAGCCTGAAGACGATATTCGAAGTGGAGTCGCACAAAGGCTGGGAAAAGCTACACTAACATATTGGTTGTTAAGACAGCGAAGGAGTCGCGAATAAATCACCTGCAGACAGTGTATGGGACGTGCTCGATTACAACATGAAATCGAGCTTGTTCGCATAGCCTTATCAAAACTAAAACTTTTATTCGCTTATATCAAAATGCGAAGCAACATGAACCTGTCTATCCTGGTGTTTTTCGGTCCTGACAGCTCTGCTGCTCTCATGGACTTTGACAACGTATCTTTACTTTGGGAACAGAATGCAGGCGTACTTGTTGGAGAGTCCTACTTGTCCCATATTAACTTCATAATTGTACATCATTATACACGTTGGCTACAGGTGGAAAACACCACAGCTATCGTGCCGCAACACAAAAGAAAAAATACATGCAACATAGTCACGCCGACCGAGTCACTAGTAAAGGGTGGACGTTGTTCCGGAGAACCGGCTATTGTGCCGCCATCTGGTTTGCCACACCGTGTGATTACTGCATAGTAGAGGTTCAAGATCATGAGAGGTTTAGGTGGCCTCAGGCAAACTGATCTGCTTGAGACAGCTACGTCAGGCAAGTTGCGGGCCCATTGCATGAAATTGAAGCAGCATAGACCTAGGTTGGAGATAAGAGCCAGGTTCCTTGCAAACCGGGTTTTGCCTGTTTGGAATAAACTTCCTTCCGCTCTATTAGCATGCAAAACTGGAGGAATTTAAAAGTAGCCTAGACAAACATTGGCTGGCCCTGTTTACCGAATTTCCGTAAGCTTCAGTAACTGCCCCTAATCTCTATTTCATGATAGTGTGTTGTTCGTCATGCACTTGCTTCTGTTTCTTCACCAATACAGAAGAGCACTGCTGGGGCTCTTTTTCGTTTACTGGCACACGAAACGGGACGCTCGTTAAGCGGAAGCTTGTTTCCTCCCTGGACCCTGTCCTGTCCTCTCCTGTCCTCTGTCACAGAGTTTTACGTCTTCCTCTTCATCTAGCGCAGTCATCATACACTCATTCGAATCGGAATAACCCCCGTGTTAAGTGGACATATTCTTACAGAATTATTTCCTACGGAAAGTGATTTGAGCTACCCAAGTTATTTTAGCGCGCTTCGTGCTTCTATCCAGACGCACCACACTGTTGTTTTTAATAGTTTTCACACCTGAGATACTGTGACCGAGCAAGGACTCTCCGCGCTATCAGGTGATCCTAGAATTGCATCTATAGGATCATTTCTAACGA